CGCTCGACGGTAATCACGCCATCAACCCGCGGCCCTCATTCGTCCCGCTCGCCACAGTAAACATGACTCGCGCCATTCTCTCGCGGCCCTCACTCGTCCTCTCGCCACAGTAAAAACGACTCGCGCCGTTCTCTCGCGGCCCTCACTCGTCCTCTCGCCACAGTAAACATGACTCGCGCCGTTCTCCCGCGGCCCTCACTCGTCCTCTCGCCACAGTAAACATGATGAATTGCGACTGTAGAACACAAAAGCCGAATCCCGGACATTTTGGGTGATCTCAAAACACATTTTCAGGCAGACTCGTGATTTTACCGGTAGGCGTGGCCTCCTAGGGCAGCGAAGCAAGAGCATTCTGGGAGTTGTTGTCTTTCATCCACATAAGCCAAAATTACATTTTCTGGCTTTTCTCAGTCTAGAAAGTTCCAAATTCAAAAATAATTTCACATTTCTTCTACATAAATTACCCATTTTAAATACACATTCATCTTTCCAGAGGTGGAATGACCCTTTAACGCAGCAGTGACTTCCAGGCATGGTTAAACAGTGCGGAATTGAGATAACCTCCTCAACTACCGAGTTAACAACACACGAAAACAATCAAGTTTTAATTTTTTACAGTGCAACGTTCCCAGAACCTAAATTTGTTTGCTGGGTAATTACTTATTCAAAATACCTACTCGAGAGCATGAGATTTCTGATAAAGCTGAATCATTGATTCATTCATTAAACTGTTCAAAATCACTGATTTATTCAGCAACTAAACATTTGGCTGTCTTCATAAGTGAGTTATTAGACCATTCTCTCAACCGGTTTGATCAAAAAACTACTGATATGTTCAGGAATTAATCAAGCGACTTTGTGACAAGCGAGCCATTGAATCATTTATTCAACCGATGAGTTCAAAAGCACTGATTCATTCGAAAATTAAACATTTGACTGTCTTTATAAGTGAGTCAGTGGATCATTTTCTCAACTGATTCATACAAACTGCTGATTCATTCATGAACAAATAAAGTGACTGTCCTTGTGTGTGACTGAATCATTCATTCAACCTGTTCATTCAAAAACATTGATTTATTAGAAAACAAAGAAAGGCACTGTCTTTATGAGTCGCTGAATAATTTATTCAACCAATTTGTTCAAAAATGCTTATTCAGGAAAGCCACAATTGTCAGAGTCAAAACTAAAAAAAATTGAGAATCGTTCTTGATGGGCCAAAAAAACAGACCAAATGTTAGTCAATATTAACTTATTTATTTAAATGTTTGCAGTCATGCTGCTCTTGGATATATTTCTGTTTCTAAAACTAGTCCTTATGTAGGCGTTACCACACACTCTTGAGTCTGACACACCAACACTGTGCTTTGTTTTGCAATTCATTGAATCTTGGTTATGCAAAAGGAACCATAATGATTAATTATGGTACACTTTGATTCAGTCAAGTTGCAACGCAAGGTCTCTGGATGGCCATAATGACTCTGTAAATGTTGGACAAACAGGAAAGAAGTTATATATTGATCAAACATACGTCAGTACGTTTCACCCTCTAGTTTGTACAATCTGCCAATATCCAATAGGTCACCATAACCTCTGAAAAATCATTTTTCTTTGCCGCCGCTGCAGGACACCGACTCGTCCTTTGTAGAACATTGGCAAGTGTTAAAGATTGATGCTTTGATTTAACAAAGAATTGAAAGTCTTGAGAAATTGCCATTTGCTAAATGATTCTGCCCGAGGTCCTATACCTTTAATGGCTTAATATATATGAGAAGGAAGATGAGAGGAGGGAATAACAGAGGTGAAGTCCTGTCTGGGACCATTTTTCCCGCAGTCGTGTCTGATAGTTATGAATTATGCCAATAATGACAGGATAAATCATGTCAAAGAGCTCATCTTTGAATGTTAGCATAAAGAAGCAGCTTACTCATAATGCCGGTAAAGACTTCACAAATAGAAAAGCAGAAAGCAATAAACACTGTTGCCAATCTATGATTTTAAGGACTTTTTGGCAGAAATGAAAAGATGTCTATTTATAAAATTAAAAACAGTAAAGAGGTGAAACTCATGTTTATGCAATTGCTCCTCGATGAACAAATTTTCACCATCATGCAGAAATGAGAACAATCTGCTCAAGTGTCCGTACAGCTGAAATGCTCCCTAATTCAATTTTCACCCCTACACGATCTAATTTTGTCCCATTAAGGTTGGGATGCATGTGGTGCATTATACAAGCTCATCATATGAGTCTGAGCGGTGACCCATCAATCTTCACCAAACTATGTCAAATTGACGCGTGCATTGAGACAGCAATAAATAAACATATTTTATCCCAGTTCATTCATCACTAAAAAAGACCAAACATATTTCTATAATGTTCGAGTTTAGTTTACCTTTTTGAGGTGCATCATTGAAATTTTGTCCTGCCGAAACTCTGCAGTTCATCGCATTTATTATTGTCTGGCACTAATAGGTAATGTTGGATTACCCAGGTCTTGTAATCACATTAGAGCAACGTGTTTGTTTCCCATGTGTGACGAAATGGCCGGTTTGGACATACACACCATTCAATGGACCCCCTTTTCCTTTAGACCCTTTACTGAGCTGCTCTGCGTGAGGGGAGATGATGAGCCATGCATGCTATTATAAAGTGTTCAGTCAGCAATAATCTGATTCCTGTCTTCATTTTTGATAGTGAAACTGACTATTGTGGAAGGATACAAGCTCTAAGTTCATAATCATTTGGTAGATAGATAGATAGATAGATAGATAGATAGATAGATAGATAGATAGATAGATAGATAGATAGATAGATAGATAGATAGATAGATAGATAGATAGATAGATAGATAGATAGATAGATGGATGGATGGATGGATGGATGGATGGATGGATGGAGGATGGACGGACGGACGGACGGATGATAGACAGACAGACAGACAGACGGATGGATGGATGGATGGATGGATGGATGGATGGGATAGATAGATAGATAGATAGATAGATAGATAGATAGATAGATAGATAGATAGATGGATGGATGGATGGATGGATGGATGGATGGATGGATGGATGGAGGATGGACGGACGGACGGATGATAGACAGACAGACAGACGGATGGATGGATGGATGGATGGATGGATGGATGGATGGATGGATAGATAGATAGATAGATAGATAGATAGATAGATAGATAGATAGATAGATAGATAGATGGATGGATGGATGGATGGATGGATGGATGGATGGAGGACGGACGGACGGATGATAGACAGATAGACAGACAGACAGACAGACAGACAGACAGATGGATGGATGGATGGATGGATGGATGGATGGATGGATGGACGGACGGACGGACGGACGGACGGACGACAGACAGACAGACAGACAGACAGACAGACAGACAGACAGACAGACAGACAGACAGACAGACAGATAGATAGATAGATAGATAGATAGATAGATAGATAGATAGATAGATAGATAGACTGTAACTGAGGGAAAGACTCTTCCAGCAGTGTTTCTGTCTTCTGCTCTGGCACCGGCACATTCAACCAACGCCAGCCTGTCTGTGTGTGTGTGTGTGTGTGTGTGTGTTCTTTACTTTCATTGTTAAAGATTAAATGTCACAACTGGCATTGCCTCCTCATTTTGTGTGCTTAGGAAATGTTGCAATGAGTGTTGCAAAACTAAAAAAAAAGAAAAGAAAAATAATCTCTGCCCTACACAAAGATCTGTGGATGATAATATATTCAGTGCCAGCAACAGAATAGCATGCATTTTAATGAGATTACAAATGTAGTCGTCATCCCCTTCCAGGGACAGAATGAAATCCAATCTCATTTTCAAAAAGGAGCAATAAAAGCGCGTTCCAGGACTTCAGTCTCATTCATGCCGTCTCTCCCCCGCAGGGAACACGAGTGCTCGCTTCACCACTGCTCCACATACGCTGCTTTATTTCGATGTGTCAAATAGAGTTGTTTTCGTACAAGGTCTGATTTATATTGATTTTTAGAAAAGCTGTACTAAATAAATAAGCGAAACCAGAACACCCCTATTTAATTTATCATGTCAAAGTCGCTTTAATGCATTTAGAAATATACCGCTGCTCTCTCTCTCTCTCTTAACATTCCCTTCCTTTTGTAGGGCTATAGGCTACTTAAGGTTTTAATTATATATGCCTTTAACTCTGAAATGCATGTTTAATGTTGGTTTCGATGGCATTTTTGTGCTAAAATATTTCATACTACATTTGGAGTCAAATGTCTTGGTTAAGTAAAATATCAAAACAAAAATGGACCTTTGTGCGCTAATCTTCGATATCGAGTAGGCTACTGAGGCGTAATAACATGCGGGCGGCGTTTGATATCATGAGGAAACCATTAAACAAAAATGACACATTTAGACTGTGTCAAGGTCATTGTGTGAATTACCCATAAATACCCAAAAAATGGAGTATGTTGCTTTAAACCGTCTTGATATTCATGACTAGGATATTTTCTGAATTTATGTAGGTAGCCTAGCTATTAGCTTGCCAAAAATAATACGTGCAAGGTAATTAGTTTAAGTTTAGTACTTTTTTGCTGAAAATGTATATATGTGTGTGTATTTTAAATTGCTAAATTAATTCTCTTCTGTTTGACGCGTCGACATCTTCATTTGTCACTGATTTAAAGGCAGTCGACTCTTGAAAAGGTTGCTAATAATATTTCTCGTGTTTTTAGAATGAATTCCCTCGACTATTTTCAGTCTGGTGGTGTTTTCGCTCAGACAAGCGCCTTGTATGCTGCGCACGGGAGAATCAATGCCACCTTATTAATAATGAACCAATACGTCGCCATGTCGCCACGCTGCATCATGTGCACAAATCGGGTCTGGCCATTATTAATGATTGCTCCTTAATAACTGATGCAGATATGCGTTATATAGGCTAAATTAGATATCAAATATATTTATAAGGGTTGCAACCAGGTTTCTACACCAATAAAAACAACACAAATCTCTTTCAAACAGTAACTGTTTTTATTGAAATACTTCTTTTAGCAGTCTATTTTATATACCTGTATAATCAATCTGTTTCTGTTAAAGTATCTCTCTTTTCATTTCACATACATCTCTTATTTTCTTGTATGGTTTTGAATATTCAGGTATTTCATATGCAACATCCCCATAAACGAACAAACAACGAACAAACATCTTCTGAAGGCAGTGAAACGTGGTCTATGCCTTGGCAACATCAAATAAAGCTAGCAAAATTCACTTCATCCACCTATTAATGTCAAGGTCCAGATATTTTCGTGCTACGATACTGTCGGGAGAAATAACAGGCCTAGTGTAATTACTGCGTCATTGGCTATATGAACCACGTGTTCTTGATGTACTGTAGTAGTAGTAGGCTACTTATTTTCTGGAGCTGCTTGTTTGTTACACACTGTTATATGCAACATGGACACTGTAAGTGTCGCCTTTATACTACTATGTGTCCTACATAAAAAGAGACAAATATTCTTTGAATGGAATAAAATACATTTTTGGAGGGGAACGGCAACAGTCAACTCACCTCACAGCCTTTTCATGGCTACATTTGACACTTATTTGTTCTTTAATAAATCTTTTAAATATATCATTTCTCTGGTAAATATATGCCTGTAGTCATTCCTGAGGTTTATTTATTAATATTATTATTATTATTTATAGCTCCCTATTTTTCTGAATTGGTGGTTCATCTTACCCCAGCCATCAACACATCCATATACTTGGCTTGACTAAAATAAATTTGATAAATGTAAACTAAATATTGACAAAGAGCATATAAAACAAACAGATGAGAGAATATTCCTAAAAGATCTTTCTATATGATGGCCGTTGAGAATGTGAAAAGCCTACTGTAATAATAATAATTCATTCATAACAGACGATAATGTTATAAAATACTACGCTTTCAGAAATTCAGGCCGAAACTCAATATCTGATAAATATTTCATGTAATCGACCCAGAGTCAGGCAAATGTGCTTGAGCATTCCCAGAAGACTTCTTCTTGCCATTGTCTCTTGCCAAAAAAACGTCTTGTTCTCCAGATGAAATAAGCATATAAATCCATTTGGGTGAGGATGAATTTTGATCGTCATTAATTCTTCTTCTTCTTTTATTCTTGTGTTGATGGTTTGTCTTGTGTCTTCCTCTCTCTTCTTCTTCTTAATCTTATTCTTGTTTTTTCGCCCTCTCTTCGTTCCCGTGGGTTAAAACTGCATCCACGTGACGAGCGCCGAGAGCGCGCTCAGGATGAGCGTCACGCAGAACGGAACCGCAGATCTGCTCGCGCCGTTCCCTCCCGCACACAGTTCAAACAAGCTGCCGCGAAACTCCAGGCTTCTGGACTCTTTTTTCAGCTTCTCCCACAGATCTGTGGCTCCTTCCTGACAGTCTGCCAGAGCAGTGGTCGCGCATGAGTGGAAATCATCCCAGTAACTGCAAGTCAAATGTTTCAAAAGAAAGAAAATCATTATTCATGTCTGATTCACGCTTAGGCTATTCAATCTAAACTATTGCCTATTATTATTATTATTATTATTATTTTATTTATTTGATAAAAGTCCTAATTAGTGAAACTAAAAAATAGGCCTAAACTCTAAAAAAATACTGGGTTGGTTTAACCCAATTTTGGGTCAAATATGGACAAACCCAGCCGCTGGCTTACATTTTTTAAACTCCATATTTGACCAAAAATTGAAACAACCCAGCATTTTTTAGAGTGTAGTGGAAAGAAACATTTCTCTTTTGGTCTCTTTATCATGTGGCATAGGCTATGTGAACAGCCGTTTTTGGATTTGCATTGCATTTCAGTTTAGATAACGCTTAATTTCGGTTTATGCATTTGTGATTTGTAAATAAAATGTAACGTCCGTTTTCATTTTGTATTTAAAGCAATACAGAGAGAATATGAAGTAAACACTTAAGCATCGCATTTTATTAGAAAATATTAGTACATTAATTTCGGATGCATTTGAATATAGTTATTCAGACTTTTTGATCGTGTAAAAAGGTTGCACCTACAAATATATAGGCTAGCGACAATTTACGACAGAATTATTAAAAGCTCTAATATAGTAAATGTAGTCTTATGCATGAATCCTTCTGGCAACTGCATGTCCTCATGAATCCACGTGAAGAAGGAGAGAGGGCACGAGGGAAGCCCGAGTTGTAATGCGGCTCCAAAGGGAAAATCTCCATATCACGTGACTAGTACCCTCCCCATCTCTCTCTCTCTCACACACACACAACTCCCCTCCTGCGCCCCACCCCCTTCCTCCAGCCCAACACTTATTCATTTCAGGAGGAACACACACCCTCATTCTAAAACCTGCATCTTGGACATTGCGTACGGTCACAAGTAGCCATGCTCCAATTAAATTAGAATAGAATAGAATATAGAATTCAATTCAATAGAATATTTCCAACAGGAAATGTTTTCAAGTGAGAAAAAAACAGTGTTACATTTCAATGTTTTGCTGGAGCTTTGGTGTGTATGGAAATTAAATTGCAGTGTCAGCCACATCTTTTTTCACATCTCTTTTATAGCTATCTAATATTTAATACGAAAATATGACTAAAAACTGAATTATGCTATCTAAAATCGGGTTGAAGACTATATGTCGAAGTTCAAACAGAAATAATTTCAGGGGGGAAATGGAGAAGGAAAGGAAGAGTATATCCCGTCTCTGTAATAAGATACTGTTGCGTTTTGATTCTCTCAGTCACGGCTGTAAAAGAACCGGTTATTTCATAAGGCGGATCGCTTACAATAATCGTGCATTACCACCCGATCTGATCCAATTATGGATGCTGACCTTCGGCCTTGGCGTGTAGAGATGGTTCATCTAATTGTAATTAACTGGTGAAATGTGAATAGCGCTTATAGCGGCAGCACGGCTCTATTTCTGCTGTCGAATTAAACAAGGGCCCCTTTACCATCTGGCCCCTGTTCCCTCTCTCTCCCCACCCTCTCTCACACCAGTATATTTCATCTGTTGTGTGTGTGTGCATGGTTCCCTTACGTGCAGATGGTCTTAAGGTTTTCCTGCTCGTCCAGCTCCTGTGGATAGTTGGCCATGTTGTCTCCTAGATGAAGCAGGCAGTCGGAGAAACCTTTGAACACTGTTTCACATTTCCCAGCCGCTCGAACTGCCTGCAGCAGATAGGCTGGAAAACGAGAAAGGATTATTTTTTAATGTTGCCTATTTAAAAAAAAAAAAATCAAAATCAAAAAACCATAAAACAGTTAACTTCTATCTGACTCTTCCAGAATAGCGTTCTTTTTTTCTTTGTAGAATTTAATTTGTTGCGATACACTTTGGCTATGCTCGTTTAGGATTTTTAATTTTCGTGTGTGTGTTCACTAGAATAATATGTGTTGGGTGGCGCGCGTGGACAAACGATGATGTAATGGTGTACATGAGGGTGGGGTGTGTGTGGGCTTGTGTGAGGTGAGATTTTCATTCTGAGTGATTTGTACTCCCCCTCCCTTTTTTTTACACATCTAGAAAAGAGTCTGTTTTTTGATGACAGATCTATTAGGGGGAAAATGAGAAGATTTCAACACGGATGCGTTCCTTCCCACTTCATTTCGATCTTTATGTTGGACCGGAATGTCACAACCTGATCAATTTGCCAGATCCCTTTGCTTAACGAACCATAAACGCCAGTGGTTTCTCAGGTTCGTTAAACAACGGGATCTTGAATTAATTAAGTTGTTGCACTGTCCAAATCAAGCTGTGCCTCTATCCTTTAACCACATTATAGCACGCACACACACCTATATGTCCCTACATTATCAAATAGCTACTTTGCATATGTGTCTCTAAATTGTCTGCAGTACACATTCTGCGTCGATACAATACAGTACTATGCGTTATGTAGTAAGTGCTCTACATTATCTGCAATGCCCCTAAATTGCATTATATCTATTTTATGCTATATGTTCCATTGTCTATTAAAAACAGTGCATGTTATATTTTCCGGTATTCTATTATATGCATGTATATACCCTACCTAATATATTTTACAGTTATTATATGATAAATGTCCCAACATTTTTGTTATACGTTGTAGCTATATGTGAATAGGCATTACATGTCATACATTATTTAGGCTATTGGTTGTATGCACATTCTACAATCAATATAGGCTACGATAAACACCAAACGAAAATAAAATAAAGAGACAATCGTGGTAATTATTCTGTATCTATTTTTTCGTAAACCCTAGTCTCTTGCTGGTGCCATGCAGATAAAGAACGGTAGTTTCGTGCATTCTTTATCGCCCACAGAATTAAAAAAAACGCATCCAACAATGGCACAAAATTATGCACACTTAAGATGATTATATTAAATTAAGTATAACATTGATTTTACACATAGTGGATTAAATGTGTTACTGAGTAATACACAGATGAAGCCTTACATAACGAAATATCAAGCTATAACTGTGATATCGCGGACAGATCGCCCTTTTCTTCAACACGAAGCGTGAATATTCAGCATTACAACCATATTCCTACAAAATACCACACCGATACAAATTAAATTCGTAAAGCATTGACTTATGATATAATGTAGCCTAATATTTTTTTATCAAAATAATTGAAATATTCACACCTCAACATGGCGGATATGAGGATGCGAAATACAAAGATGCTCATACAGATAGCAATGTAAAACAATTTATTAATGGGATGCATGATTTCATCTTTAAAATCTCGATGTCTTTGTTTGCTTCACTGGAATATACAGTTACAGCACTGCGAACTAACAGTGAATTATTAAACCATTTCGTTGTAGGCACGATGATCTATATTTAGAAACAACTGAGTATCTAATATAGACTCACCTATCCTACTGTACTAGTGGTCACGAGTCACGACCACTTTACTAGACCCTGTCAGTGTCAAGCATAATCCGTTCAATGAAGTCAGGAGGGGGTTTATGGCAAATTAATGTAGTTCAACTAACGGAACCAGCTTTTCACACACACACACAAAAAAAAAAAAAAAAGAAAGACATCGCCACTGATTTCATCCTAATGCACATTTTCATCGCAGAGCCCTGCAACAGCACTAATAAGAAAGACATTTAAAAACGCACAATATTACGAGAACATGTCCAACATTCTTATGTAAATTATAAAACAACAATCACACACCAACAAATTTTCGCGAAATTCTAATTAGCTAAATGATATTGTGTGCTCGTGTAATTTGCAAAGAGACACATGGGACCATAAAACGCATGATGCATCTAACAGCCTTTGCAAGTTAAATCTGTTAATGCAATTACATTAATGCATTTTCTTTCGAATTATTTTTCAATATTGGTTTAAATAATTTATTACGGAGAGGGTCGGGCGGTCCCATACTTTCACCAACTTGCTCCAATAGCCTACGATTTACAGGGCTTTATTTCTCGGAACAGTCTCCAACATGAAATGGAGAGACAATGCAAAATTACCCCAATGTCATGCATTTAAACTACAAGACCCAGATCTCTAGCCAGCGGCAAGCCTTTAAATCGCAGTCGGGACAGTAGCACTGCAATTAAAATATCCACCAACATACACTCTAGAAATATACAACCAATAGGCATATAAGGAAATGTGATAACCTACGAATTAGAATTAGGATTGTCAAGTTATCTATGAAAAAAAATCAAGATTATAAAAGGAAAAATCAGCCCATCCGCCCAAAATACACTACGACAGAAATAATCTACTTACCTATTTGAACAGCAAGAAACAATGAAATATATCTTCCAGACAAAGTTAATCCCATCCTACGTCCAGAAAAACCATTGGAGTATATACAATTTTAGATAGTTGTGAGGGGAAAAGATTGTGAAGTCTGCGCGCTGAACATCGCTGTTTAGTTCTTGCAGATCTTCAGAAACTCTGGGTTTTTCCCGCTGTCGGCGAGGCGCAGAGAAGTGAAATGGTGCACCCCGTTAAGAGAAGGTGGTAATGCCTCGTGTGTGTGTTTTTTTCTATCTCCCTGCTTCACGCCCACATCTCAAGCTTGACGTAAAATTCACCGTCGGACTCCCCACTTCTCGATTTTCTCATTCGCTAGACCGGTCTGGCCCTCTTTCTTCTCCACCTCTCCACTGTATTGGCATTTCGGGGATTGCGGAGATGTCCACATATATCTGCTCTCTGGTGGTCTCACCTATACACCCTCCTGCGTGAAGCTCACACGTGGACCCGTGACCCACATATGGACGCACGTGCAGACTTCATTGCTATGGGTGCTTAGACTGATGAATTTTGATAGATAGACGTCTCGTAGTCGGATTGCGTCAGGTTGGCTAGCTAATAGGCCATATGTACTTTCTTTTAATCGAGATGACTGTGATGCATTGTGTGTAAGACATGCAGTAATTCATAGATTTAAAGGATCATTTATGGAAATGTGACCCTGCACCGCGCAGATTTAGCTGTATGATTAATGAAGTGTCCACGTTTTATCTTGAGTCGTATTACCTCAGCGCTAATCGTTATTGATGATTTGTTTATGACTTAAATACTCTAGTAAGGCTATCAAGGTCTGTCGGAGGTGAAACGAGGTAAATAAAAACAGGCTGTAGTATTTTGTGGTTAATGGACGGGATATTTTTGGTGCATCGTGAACATTATCGGCCCAGAATCTTAACACTTTTAACACCTGAGATTTATTTCCAGGGCGAAAAACGTTTTGCCACACCTGCCAATGGCCGGTGACTTGAGGATTTTTTTAACCGACAATGAAACTGTTTTTGCAAAAAAAAGGCACTAACATCGAAATTTTAGATCGGCCTACCAATGAAATGCACTATTCTCAATTCCAATTTCGATATCACAACTTAACTAATATGCGTGTAAAACATTATTAAAGACAAGTAGTAGTTAATATAAAAACAAATAATCAAAAAGCAAAGCAAAAGACAATAAAGATACAAATTAAATTAACAGGGCCCAGTTCCCCAAAACGTTCTTATCGTTCGTACTTATATCTTCTGTAAATCACACTTTCGTAACGTGGTCCCTTCGTAAGCTCTCTCTTAGGGATGTTTGAGCTCAAGACGCTAGTCGCCCCTACTGTGAAATCGGCGCTGCGCAGTACAAGTCAAACTATGGTAGGCTATGTAATGTTGTGGCTCAACAATGATTTTATGTTATGGATATTTTAAGACTAATAATAAAATATGTTCGTAATGGATACAGGCCTATTTAGGAAATTGACTTTAATTGAATTACCCCTGGCTATTTCGTAATGTTATTAAGCGTTTAAATTGGCAATCACTTTTGATCATTCAAATCTGGAAAACAATTTGGCTCTAAATGGCTGAGATCTATAAATGGGTAGCATGTGGAGTCCGGTGAGCGACCAACTATGGCAGCGATCCAATGTGCCCTTGTATTGAATCAAATTTTTTGGAGCTGCTGGACCTTCTCACCCCGTCCACACTACTGCGTTTTCGTTTAAAAACGGAGAATTAAAACGAATACGATCTCCGTCCACATCAGCGTTTTATCTGCATTTTAGAATCGATCTCCGTCCACATTAAAACGACTGAAAACGCGGGTCACGTGACCATTCACCAACACTGGTCATGCGCGTGCCAGTGTAAACGGTGGCTGACGAATCAGGGAAGGACTCGTCATGACTAATGGCACCCAATCATAGAGCCGAGCATGAGTCTCTGAGTCAGCGTTTCTAAACTTCTCCTTTTAAGGTCCTCGTTTTTACATTTTAGTCTGGATGGCTGATGCAAATGTAGCAAAAGGTCTTCATTTTTTAACGAAAACGCAGTAGGCTAGTGTGGACGGGGCCTCAGACCTGCGCTTACCATTATAAAAGTACATCATTTTTAGAAGTCGTTAAAACCCATGTCAAGAAGCGGGATAAGAATAAAGGCCTCATTATGCTTCTGCGTCAACTCCACGGCGTTGTGGATGTTTTATGCTTCTGCGCCAGGTTGCGTTGCATCGTGGTGCATTTCACCGCCAGAACGCTGGGGGGGGTGGGGTTTGCGAATCTCTTTGCTAGTTTGTTTTGGTTCCGTGCGCTGGTTCCGCATTTTCATTCCGACAATGGCGAGCGAAAGAAAGAAAATGTTGTTGCAGCTGGAGACGACACAACGTCGATGACCAAAAAGACGAAATGGGTACGCCGTCGATTCGACGTGGAAGCTTAAAACAGGCTTAAGGGCACAACGAGATAAGGAGGGTGGATGACGAACATATTAGCCTACTGACAATTTGATAATTTAATTAATAGTCTATAATTTACTGATAACTTAAACTATTTGCATAGAACGGGTTGCTGTAATGCACCTTTACTTGAAGTGGCAAATCGACTCCTGCAATGGATGCCAACTAATTCAGCGCCTTCACTTGGGACAGCGCCTTTGTAACGTGTAAGAGGCGGCGTGTAAAGAAGCTTCCCAAGGTCCTGCTCACATATCGCGTCTTTTGCGCGCTCAAGTTCATTATTTCAAATGAAATCTCATAATGGAAATGACGCGGTCGCGGTGGGACGCACTCATTTTGCGTCATTGAGCTTTTCATGGGTATCATAAGTTTACTTAACTTAAAAAACTTTGGTAAGATATATATTTCGAGTCTTATTAGCACACTAAGAGTGAGCATTATGGGGGAACCGGCCGGTTACAGTGCTTTTCAGGTTTTTCAGGTAGGTCTAACTGTTTTCAGGAACAGAAATTGAATAAAGTAAGCAAATGTAAAATAACTGTAAAATAGTCTTCACTGCATTAAACATCCTTATTAAATCATCCTTATTGACTGTGGGGGCCATTTTAGTACAGTGAACTCATGTTCAAGAAACCAATTTAAAATTATTCAAGCTTTGTGACATGGTGCATTATCCTGCTGGAAGTAGCCATCAGACGATGAGTACATGGTAGCCATAAAGGGATGGACATGGTCAGAAACAATGCTCAGGTAGGCCGTGGCGTTTAAACGATGCCCAATTGGCACTAAGGGGCCTAAAGTGTGCCAAGAAAACATCCCCCACACCATTACACGACCACCACCAGCCTGCACAGTGGTAACAAGGCATGATGGATCCATGTTCTCATTCTGTTTACGCCAAATTCTGACTCAACCATCTGAATGTCTCAACAGAAATCCAGACTCATCAGACCAGGCAACATTTTTCCAGTCTTCAACTGTCCAATTTTGGTGAGCTCTTGCAAATTGTAGCCTCTTTTTCCTATTTGTAGTGGAGATGAGTGGTATCCAGTGGGGTCTTCTGCTGTTGTAGCCCATCCGCCTCAAGGTTGTGTTGTGTCTTCACAAATGCTTTGCTGCATACCTCGGTTGTAACGAGTGGTTATTTCAGTCAAAGTTGCTCTTCTATCAGCTTGAATCAGTCGGCCCATTCTCCTCTGACCTCTCGCATCAACAAGGCATTTTCACCCACAGGACTGCCGCATACTGGATGTTCATTCTTTGTAAACCCTAGAAATGGTTGTGTGTGAAAATCCCAGTAACTGAGCAGATTGTGAAATACTCAGACAGGCCCGTCTGGCACGAACAACCATGCCACGCTCAAAATTGCTTAAATCACCTTTCTTTCCCATTCTGACATTCAGTTTGGAGTTCAGGAGATTGTCTTGACCAGGACCACACCCCTAAATTCATTGAAGCAACTCCCATGTGATTGGTTGATTAGATAATTGCATCAATGAGAAATTGAACAGGTGTTCCTAATAATCCTTTAGGTGAGTGTACTTGCAGCGCAGATGTTTACTTGCATTTAGCGCTTTACCCATGTTACTTTTAGACCCTATCCCACCAACTATTATTTAGACATTTTTTTGGTGTCAAGGTGGTGAACATAGGCTAAGTTTAATGGGTCATTGACAAATAAAGTTTCAATTAACAATTCATTTTATTGTTGTCTGTATATAGGCCTATCAACCTACCCATAGTTCAACAGTTTTTAGCAGTATTTGAGAGAAATCTACAATGTTACAAGGATCAGTCGGACTCCTCTGGATGATCCAACTGATCCGTGTGCATTATATATGTTACTGTTATTACCTCCTCAATTAATAATGAAAGAGCCATGTTTGCGGTTGTAACACCCTGATATTTGAGAATATACAAATTGCTGAACAATGGTTTTTCAATTACCCTATCTCAAAGGCTTAAAAACTACTGATTATATATATATATATATATAGTTTTCTGTTCATTTGTTCAGACAGTTGCCCCATCTGACATTTTGGGGGTTTAAGATAACTAAACATAAAATAATATGTATTATTTAAATGTACTACAATTTAATTCAAAATAATTAGGGTAACTATATAGAGGCCTAGAATAAAGTAATATAAGTCATGCATTTATCAAATTATTTTGAAAGAAAACAATGCTTTTGGACACAAAAATGGTGCCTGTGTCATGTCAATGACCCTACAAAATCCTTTAACATAAAAAAAATATCTATAACACAAAGGCGCTGATAAAGATGGTAAAAAAATCATACTTTTGCTACATTACAGTAGCTATCCATGTTGGGGTTTTTTATATATGATACTAATAAAGGAGGTGTTACTGAAAATTACATGGAATCTGAAAGATGAGAAATCAGATGAGAGATGCGTTACGTTACAACTGAGAGTAGTGATGATGTCGGTATCACTGGAAAAAAAAGTTCTCACCCGCTGACGTCAGCGGAATTTGTAGCCAACCAATGGGCACTGAGTATTGATGCGCACCAATTTTTTTCAGAGACTTCACTGACTTCAGGAGGAGAATACTAAGAAGTTACATAGGGCATTCTAGCTGAAGGAGAATCCTCGCAGTGAGCAGAGATCGTGTGCTCCTCGATGCTGAGTAATTAGGTCCCCTGACACTTCATTTAGAGTCCAGACTATACAGAGTGGGACTGACGATGCCCTCAGGGCAGTTTACAATCCGATCGGATTTTCGTGGGTCATTAAAGATGATTACTATTCAACATTAGATTGTAGCCTATGTCATCGCGTAAAGCTTAAAATGACATGCATGTCACATAGCATAGAGCATATAGCTAGATGAACGTTATAATTGGTGCAGATTCGTGCGTTAAACCTTTCGAGAGAGAAAAAACGAGCAGTTGCATAACGC